AAGCCAATGACAAGAAAACAAAACAAAATACATCAAGAAAGAAAAGTTTGTAGTTAGTTCAAGGACTGTTTGTTGACATTTCTGGTCGAGTCTGTTGGGGCACCAAGCCCTGGCCCCAAGTCTATTTTTGGTATTCCCTGGGGACTTCGTTCCCATTCCCCTTGCTGTTCTGTTGCACATCCTTAGTGTTTTGCCTGGGTGTTGTGGGGTCAGATCGGGCACAATTTCCACATTGTGTCTCCAGTGTTGTCCCCTGTAGGGCTAGGGGTCAGTGAGAGATGTCGTGTCTCATAGGGGCCATGTGGTCTTCTCTGTGGATTGGCTGCTCTGAGCAGGAATACTGTCCTCAAGGCTTGGTGGACCAGGATGTGCTCCACTCTCTCTTCCTCCCCCTTCATTTGCTCCCGTGTGCTCTGATCAAACATGTCCCTCTCCTGGAGCTGGAGCTTCAGTGCTGTCCTCTGAAGTAAATTCTTCTGGGGGGAGATTTTATTTTAACAATGCAAAAGTTCTTAGGAACATCCCCGTATGTCTGAGATATGTATAGGGTGTGTTGAGATGGATTTCAGCAGAATTCAAGATGTGAGACGCAGCGTTATTTTATATATCACCCAAACTCAGAAATTTACTGCCAAGGAGTGGATTCACACGCACAGCGACCCTGGAAGACAGAGAAAAACTGCTTCTCCGGGTTTCTGAGGTTTTAAATCTTTATGAAGGAAAAAATACATATATTTTTTTATTCTTTATGGGAGTAAAATTGCCTAATCTTTCTCCTTCTGGGTAACTAGTGGGCTTGAACCACCGTTCTTGTGATTAGCAGCCCAATGCATAATACTACACTACCAGGGCCCCGGGACATGTACTACCAAGGGAAAGAAAAAATGTATATTTAAAAAGATATATACACACATATGTTGCCTGGAAGATGTATTACAATTAGGCTCTGCTGAGGATTAATGAAATGCAGCATATATTCTAAGAATTTGTCACCACGTGAGTATATGATTTGCCTTCGGAGTTCTCAGAGAAATGGAATGAAGAGATCACGGCATTGTCCCGGATTCCCAGCCCAGTCAGGCTGAGGGACTAAGGGAGGGGCACAGAACTGCCGAGCTGAGGCCAGCCTCCACCTCAGACGCATAGCGACACCCTGTGGGTTCCCGAGACTCTTAACTGTTGACTGGAGTAGAAAGCCCAGTATTTCTTCCATGGAGCTGCTGGTGGTTTTGAACTAGCAACCTTGCGGATTGCAATCCAACTCATAACCACTACACCACCAGGACCAGGCAACGTGGGTCTGATCTCTTCATGAAGAGATCAAATGTCACGTGGCACTGAGTGAATCTGCTGCAAATGAGCTCTTTAAAGTGCTGACAAGCAGGTATGTGACTTTGAAGACTAAGGTGTGCTGTAGTCTAGTCATGGTTATTCCCAACTGCCTCATATGCATGTAAAAGTTGGACACTGAATAAAAAGCACAGAAGAACCGATGCCTTTGAATGATGGTGCTGGCATACAGCAGGGAACTCCAACCTCCCGTTTATCCCATCTGAGGCCTGAGGCCACTTTCCCTACCAGTCCCAGTGTGGGAAGCAGGCACTGGTGGTCTGAGAGTGTCTACCGGCAAACCTTCAGCTGCTGGCAAGGGCAGTAGGGTCACCATGCACTGAATAGGTTAGGGTCAGGGGCTATGAACCTGGCACCAGTGTCTGCGCTACCTCCACCCAAACATGCCCCCTCCACGGGGCGCCACAGCCACGCCCCAAATCAACAGTCCCACAGAGGAGCCAACGACATCTCTTGTCCAAACAGAGTTTAATTGAGAGGTTCAGGGACCCTCAGGTCGGAGGGGAGACTCACTGAGAATACTGAAAACTGAACAAACAAGCAACCTCACTGCTACTGAGTCAATTCCAACTCACAGCGACCTTCTAGGACAGGGTTGAACTGCCCCGGTGGGTTTCCGGGCCTGTAACTTTTCAGGGGAGTCGAGAGTCCCATCCTCCTGCAGAGCAGATGGTGATTAGAACTGCGGACCTTGGGGTAGACAGCCCAATGTGTCACCACTGACATCTGGGGCAAAGACGCAGGTGAGCTCTGAATCAAAAAGGTGTAATAACCCAGGGACCCTCTATAGAGGGTCCTTCTATGCCTCAGGGGGCTGGGCCTGAAGCAGGAGGGTCCCGGAGCGAGTGGGGGGATGATCTTCAGAAGCCAACTGGGGTAGTATTGGGAGCTGATATGGAGCTTGTATTTGGGGAGTCTGGGTGTGAAGAAGAAGAGCTGAGTTCAGCAGGAGAGACTGAAACCTTGCTGCGAGGCAAGGGTGAGGGGTCTTGGTGTTTCATGGAAACAATCAAGGAGCCTCGATTTCACAGAAATCATCAGGGGAGCTCCTTGGGAGAGTGTGGGCATGGGGGGCGGGCATCACATGAACCCAAATATTGGGGACTGCTCAGCCCCAGCAGCCATTCTGGGGTTTTAATGTAAGACCCTGATGGCAGGACATTCTACCTACACTATTACGGCTTTGCAACTGTAGCATACGCTGGCTGTCCCACGGGACGGAGGGGACTGGAAAATCAGTCCAGGTCTAGGTTCGAGTCCTAAGAGGACAGGGCTGGGGGCGCCACACGGCTCCTCTTCAACAGCTGCCGGATCTGTAGACAGAGGAGACAGGGGAGAAGGCAAGGGGTTGGCCACGCCGTCTATGGGGCCCCGAGGTTAGCGAGAGGTGTGTGTGATGGGTGGGGCTCGAAGGTTAGCCATCGAAGCTAGGTTTGGGGTTAGGCATAGAAGTCTGACTTCACGCTCTGAGAAAGGCGGGGTCAAAAGGTGGGAAGCCAGAATGGAGGGTTCCCACTTTGGGACTAACATTGAGGAGTAGGGTGTCTTAGTGAAGCCAGGGGTCTAAGGTCACAACGAAGAGTCTGAAATCCTACTTTAAGGTGAGAACCAAAGGTTAGGGGCTAAAGGTCAGCGGCCACACGGGAAAAATCAAAGGTCACACTTTGAGGTCCCGATTCAGGGTTGGGAGTAGGGGCAGTCAGGGTTTGGGTAGCGGTCAGGAGTCACTATTGTAAGGTCAGGGGTCACATGTTGAAGTCCGGGGTAAGTAAGGGTGGTGGCGCCGGCTGAGACTAGAGGTCCCCCCAGAAAGCAGGATTGAGTGCTGTCAGAATGGGGTGGCACTCACCCCCTCGGGGCCGGGCCCGGGCCTCAGCAAGTGAACAGGCTGCTCATTCTCCAAGTTTCGCAATGTGGGGTCCGCTCCAGCTGCCAGCAAGCGCCGCACAATGGCCTCCTGGGGAGGTCCCGGGGGCAGTGCAGCTGCCATGTGGAGGGCTGTGTTCCCATGGGCCTGGGAGCAGGGAGGGAGATGCTGATGAAGACCCATGTTCCGCACGCCTTGTTATCACCACCTGCAGGATGCACCCTGCCTCCCACATCCACCTCCCTTCCCCATGCTCCACTCCCCCAAATCTCTGTCCGCATGCCATGCACTTCCCCACCTTCCACAGCCCACACACCCACTTGACTACCCCCACCGTCGCTTGCTGCCCTATCCCACTCCCGTCAGCACCCGCACCTTCATGTTGACAAATGCCTGCAGGTCTCCCTGGGGGAGCTCCAGCAGCAGCTGGACCAGGGTGGGGTTGGCGGCCTGCACAGCCAAGTGCAGCACGGTCTTGTTGCTTTTGATTTCCTGCAGGGGGCGGAGAGCACCAGTCAGGCCCCGCCTCCCAGGGGCCCCAGGGTTCTCCAGGGACTGGGGGGGGGGCGGGGCGGGGGAGGGGCCTCCTTGGCAAGCCCTACCCTGCTGTGACTCTCGTCCATGCTATAACAGTAGCTGGTCTAAGGGGGTGGGGGTGGGGGTGGCGTTCATACTACACAGATTATAAAATTGACCTTTACAACCATTTCCCACCTAAGGGGCTTCTAGAAAACGATGACCTTTTCAACCCCACTCCCTGTAAAAGAACTCGCTGGTCTAGCATCTAGGCACCCCCAATCCCACATGGAACATTCTGGATCGACAGCGGGAGCCGAGGACCATGCAATGTTCACTGGGCCTTTGTCCTTGGCCATGGTTTAGCGGCTCTGTTCAGATCTAGGAGCAAACGAAGGCACAGTCTGCAGGCAACACAAGTAGGTGCCGGCAAGAGTGTGGCTGGGTCAGCTACCGGATGGCTAATGGTTTCTGCCGAGCAATGATACTAGCTCCTAGTTCGAGCACCACATAGATTACGAAAAGAAAACACAGAAATGGGGAGAGGCTTACAAAAGACACAGCATGGTAATGCGCAGGCTGGACGTGGCTCCTGATGTTTTTAAGAAACAGAAATAAATGTATGACCAATAGTACTACTGCTACTACTGAGGAAAAAATCTGTCCGTGCAGAGTCTAATGGAAATGTGAGCAGAACTGGGATGTTTGAATTTGTGAAACGATGACTCCCTTTTGGAATTTTTTTAAGGGTGGAAGGATGGAACTGAGGTTGAAAGCAAGCTTATCTTTGAGAAACATAAATGTTGACACCCTGGGAGTTGCTTAGTGTGTACAGCAGTGGCGGTGCCGTGTGCTGTCCCCTCCACGCTGACCCACAGGGACCCGAGACCACAGCGCAGTGCTGTGTCACAGAGTGTCCTGGGTTGCCATCGTTGCGAGAGCACATAGCCCAGTCTTCTCATCTGCTCTTGGGGATCGCTGGGTTAGCCTCGGATCACTGGATTAGCAGTTGACCGCACAGCCATTAGACCACCAAGACCCCAAGCCAAACCAAATCCACTGCCATAGTCTGTTCTAACCGTAGTGACCCTGCTCGGGGATTCTCAGACTGTCAAGCTTGATGGGAGCACACAGCCTCATCTTTCTCCCTGGGAACCGCTGGTGGGTTTGAACCACTGACCTTGCAGTTAGCAGCCTAGCTCACAGAACCAGGAGGGCTTCTTATGAATATAACATAAAACCCCAGACCCACTGCCACTGAGTTGATTCCGATTCGTAACAACTCTATACAGGGTGTCTGAGGTGATACATCTCAACTGAAACAGCTTCACTGATCTCTCTTGGAGTGGCTGGCGACCTTGCTGGGAGAGTGAATGAGGGAGGGCTGCTCACAGGCTGCTGGCTACTCACATTAGGTACTTGGAGTTCACGCCACTATTTTCTGTATTGTGTTTAAAATTATTCGACTCGAATCATAATGGTAAATGTCTTAATTTGTTCAACCAGTTCTCGATGAAGAAACTACCATCGCAAAAAATGAAGATAACAGAATTGCTAACAGAATTGCTACGAGCCAGGGAGATCCTAAGATCACTTCCCTTCTCTGACAGTCACCAGCTCTTAGCTTATTCCATGCACCTTAGTTGCCTCATGGGTAAAATAGAGAATGTAATCCTAGCACAGGTCAAAGGGGAGGATTCAGTAAGGGACTCCCTGAAACTCGATGCTTCCTGGCAGCAACTGCATAATACATATAAGCTAAGCTCGGCAATGCCAACCAGGGCACAGAGACAGAGACGTGATGTGACCTGCTCAAGGTCACACAGCTGGGACGAGACAAAGCCGCCGGCATTTGTTTGGCGCTCTGCAGAGCCAGGCTCCCCTTCCCCACGTGGGTGCTCTCTCCAGAGCCGGCTGCCCTCCATGCAGCTCACCTGGCTGGTGTGGTCCGCACCCATGTGTAGCAGCATCTGGACACAAGTCAGCCTGTCTTGAGCCTGGGTACCCAGTACCCGGGGGCACAGGTCCGACGGGCGCATGGCAATGTTCAGAGACAGGATGGCTGTGTGGAGTGGGGTGAGGCCTGCGGGAGAGAGGCGGTGAGAGTCCTGCCTCTGGAGCACCCAAGCCACCCAGCTCGCCTGCCACAGTAGTGCCATCTGCTGTCTGACTTACCCTCGAAGTCTCGGGCTTCCAGGTTAACTCGGGCTCCTGAGTTAAACACAGCCTGGGGGAGGGGGAGGGGAGAAAGGGATGGCTAAATGTCTCCATGGAAACCAGGAGTTAGGCGGCCAGGCCACCCTAGATGCACCCCCCAATGGCTGGCCTTACCGAGAGCACTCCTGGGAGGCCATAGGTAGCAGCCACGTGCAAGACGGAGCGTCCCTGATGGTCAGTGGCGTTGGGTTCCGCGCCCAGGTTCAGCAGGTCCCCCACAATCAGGGGCTGGTTAGCTGCAGCAGCCACCAGGAGAGGCGTCTGCAGGCCACAGGAGGGGTCAGTCCTAGCCCCCAACTCAGCCTCAGTCTCCTGGGGGACCCTCCAGCCCTTGGCTCTCTTCCTCGGCACCCAGGAGCCCAGGCCCTTAGCCCTCACCTTGCCTTTGTGCTCACGGATGTCCAGGTGCCTACAAGCTTGGAGCACCTCGGCCGCAGCGTAGGCCAGCCAACGCAGTCCCCGGGCCACAAATAGGTGCAGGAGTCTGAGGACAGGGGGGGCGTCAGTGAGCAGAGCACCCCCACCATAGCCCCAAAGCCAAGGCAGTGAGTGCCTGCAGGCCCTGGACCCATTCCCCAGACTCACGTGTCTCCCTCCTCATCCTGGGCCAGCAGCTGCTGGGGCCCCAGGGTCAGCATGTGAGCACGGGCTGTGTCCAGGGATGGTCCCTGGGCCACCGGGGAGAACTGAGGGGGCCCTGGAACTCTCCAGGATTCAGCCTGGGGCGGGGAAGGCTCTGCATAGATCCTAGTGTCCAGGGCGTCCTGTCCATGCAGATGGAAGGGAGAGTCAGTCAGGTCAGGTTGCTCCCTTCCCAAACTGCCTCCCTTCCCCCACAGACATGTACAGAGTCAAGGGCAGGGACAGAGTTCCTGGTGCATTCTCTGGGTGTCTCATCTGTACCTAGGAACCTTGACCTTCAGGCCTCAGTGTGACCCATCTGAGAAATGAGATCTTAACAGAGCCCTTCTTGCTGCATGAGAGTCGTTATGCAATTTTAGGGGCCCTTTAGTACCCTGATGGCGTAGTGGTTACACACTGGGCTGCTAACTACAAGGTCAGCAGTTCAAAATTACCAGCCACGCCTTGGGAGACAACGAGACTTTGTTCCATAAAGAGAACCCACAGGGGCAGTTCTACCCTGTCCTATACGGCTGCTATGAGTGGACATCGACTTGCTGGCAGGGAGGATTTTGTTTATTTGTTTTCATTAGTACCCTGTCCCTACTCTGTCTCTCACCTCCATCCCCTGGGGCAATGAGCACAGCTGCCCTGGGTCCAAAGGCGGGTAGAAGTTGGAAGTCAGAAATTCGGCTGCAGAAGCAGGGTAAGTGTAGCCGCTGTCTGTGAAGGCAGCATGCGTGTTGGGGTCCCAGTCTGGAAGGCTTGTGGGGGCACCCAGGCCACCAAGTCCAGAATGCACAGGCTCCTGGTGTCCCAGGAAGTGGCCATGGCCTGCATGTGAGAAGAGGGACCGGGCAGGTCCGGTTAGCAGGGTTGGAAGAAACATGACCTAGAGTTGGGGTGTAGAGGTGGGCCTGTGTGAAGGCTTGGTGCCCACCATTGTGCTGAGGGGTCATCCTCCAGCCCCAATGAGGGCCTGAGTCCAGGACCCCTGGACTATGATGGATTAAAGGTGTCGATGACTGAACCCCCAAGGATCCCCAGATGGCCTGCCTCTGAGGTCCCCAAACATTCTCATAGTGGGTTTCTCTGGACTCCCAAAGGGTGCTGTGGGGAGGTGGGGTCTGGGGAGGTGGATCTGAGGGAAGCAGGTTCATTTATGACTTACCAGCCTCACTCTCACGGGCAGAGGGGGTCAGCGGCTGCCCCAGGGGAGCCAGGAACTGACCCTGTGAGACGCACAAACAGAAAAGGGCATGAGGGTGAGCTCCTCTGGTGGATGCTTCCCCTTGGCCGGCAAGTCCCGGAGGCCCACGAAGTCCCTGTCCCCCACCACATGGTCCCGGGGCTCCAGGGGCCTCACCGGGGCTCCTCCGGCATCAGGCTGCTGCTGGCGGCGCCTCTGCTCTTCCAGAAGCTTCTTCACTGTCTGCGAGGGGCAGTGGCTGCGTTCTGTTCGACTCACTGTTGGGGGAGGGAGAGGGGTCCCTAAAATTTAACTCACGTGCTGGGGGAGTGAATCTGGGGCCCTTTCCGCTCTCCCGCGCAAAAAAACAACAACAAAAAACTGGCTCATTTCGGTGGCCTAAGAACAGCTGAACTTGGCAATGGTTACGCGTGCGACAACCGCCTCCGCCGTTTCCTTCCTCCCTTTCCCTCTGACCCAACTTTCCACCGTCGTCGTGGAAACGGAGAAGGCGCGGGGGAGAGGCGACCCTCGCCGTGCCCAGTCATTTCCGTAAAAAGTCCCAGCTCAAGTCACCCAGTCCGGAGCCCTCCCGGGGCGCCTGGCATGGCCCCCTGAAGATGCGCTCCCAGGGGCCCACCAACTCTCCGAGAGCCAGATGGGAAGCAGAGATCCGGGCCTCCTGCCTGCATCCCGCAGACGCTGGAGCCGGGAGCCCAGCGCCCTCCTCTCGGAGACGGCCCGGCTCCCACACCTGCCCAGCGCCCGGTCGACCCCGCAGGCCCAGGACCCCATCCATCTTCTCCCTTCCGAACGCAGGCTCTGGCGAGGGAAGGGTTAAGCGGCGCCAGGCCCCCCTCGGAAACCGCCCAGACGCGGCGCGCTGACGTCACGGCGCGCACGCAAAGGAATCTTCCGTCTCCCGGTTTCCCATCAGGTCCCCAGAGGTCGGGGTCCGGAGGCGGGGCGCGCAGCCGAGCGTGGCGCTCACGGAATCCCCGCGCGTGGGGAATTCCTGCGCAGCCTGGGGACCCTGGGCGGGGGCCCGCGGGAAGTCCCCGGGGTCAGGGCGCAGCAAGCGCGCACCCCTGCGACTCGGGGTTCGCACCCCCCCAGCGAGAACGGTGGCTGATTCCAACCCAACACGCCCCCAAGGACCCAGGCCCCTAGTTCCTCCGCCGAAAGGATGCAGCCTGGGCCTCCTTCCCCGGGACCCCAGAGTCGGTCCCCAGCGCTGCACCCCCAGATTCCACCCCCCACTCTTCTACTTCCCCCCAAGATCACCCCCTCCCCCTAAGGGATCTGACCCCCTCCGGGCACCCGGTACCCTGGCTCCCTGTACCTGAGACTTAAGTTCCAGCTCCGACCCCCAGGACATTAGGGTCACAACCCCAGCCTTCACTGCTGTCAGAGACAGAAGTGGGGGGGTGGAGACAGAGAGACAGACGGAGCGCGCCTTCCCACCACTCTTCCCTCCATTACCTCGGGGCGTCCGGGGCGCGGATGGCGGGGCCCCAGGGCCCCGGCCTCGGCGCTGCGCCAGCCTCGCTGTTCCCCCGCGGAGCCGCCGCCGGGTCCCAGAGTTTGGGTCCTGTCCCCGCGAGTTTTTAAACGGGGACTCTGGCACCGCCCCGTCCTGGGCAGGGCCGGGCTCTGCGGCCCGGGAGTCCCCAGCTCAGCGCCCCAGAGGACCCGTCACTGAGTGGGCGGGGCCACCTGGGGGCGGGGCGCCCCCACCCCCGCCTCCAGGCTTTAGGGTACCGGATTCTTCAGTCCTGGAGTAGGACGGGGGTTGGAGTCCCTGGACTCTGGGCTGAGGGGCAGTTTTCCTGGGGGCTGGAGGATGAAGGGGCTGAGGGCCTGAGTCAAGGGTCTCTAGGGAGGAAAAGTCTGACCAGGGGAGTGACATTTCAAAACCTGGATCCTGACACGTGGAGACCCTTCATGTCGCTAGACCAGAGCAGGGCTCCACATTACCTGGTTTCGTGTAAACCGTTAGGAACACTCAGGAACCTGCTGGAGTGCTACGTTGTTGTCCTCAACAAGCCTATGGATAACAGAAGGAAGCACGCCTGGCCTATTGCGGCAGCGACTGTCAATTCCTTTCTCCTCTCCTTTGAGAGTCTTCCTCTTTTTTGGCTGACCTTCCACCAAGCCTGATGTCCTTGTCTAGGAACCGGACTTTCCTGATCTGACGTCTTCCCATCCTCATTGCTAATCACGCTCACTGCCATTGAGTGGATTCTGACTCATGGTGAAGCTCTAGGACAGAGTAGAATCCAGCCTCCCACTCGGCCGCTAGGGCCCTTCTACTAAATCACAACCAAATTCACAGCTAGCCAGGTGATGCCGGCTCAGAGCGACCCTGCAGGGTGGGTTCAAGTCTCTCCTTCTCCCCCACGTCCTCTTCTTCTTCTTCTTCTTCAGGGTTCAGGGCTCATTAATTTTATGTATGACAGCATGTGAGACACTTTGCTGGGCCCTGGGGTTGGAATGATTCACTAGGATTATTGGGACCCAGCACAGTACCTGATAGTGTCCTCTCTCTCCCCAGGGACCTCCTTCGGACTGTGCAGAATCCTTAGTATCATACATTTTAATCATAGAATCATATGATCAATGTACTTGTGAATCATTTTAAAGTAATGTTTTTTTTAGATTATATGAATACTAAGTTGCTGGGTAAAACCTTTCTGCAGTGAATTACAACGTTGGTACGTTATTAGTAACTGCATCGAAGCCTTCTAATTGTTCCTCTTTTCTTTAATTACTGCTTCAGTCTACCCAAAAAATGTTATTGATGTAGGTTCGTTAATACTAACTAGCTCAACGTTATAGTTAAAAGATGAGAAAATTTGACAACAGTCAGAGTATAAAAGCCCAGTGACAACAGAGCTTGCAGATGAAGCTTCGTGATTGGAAGCATCCTTGTAACTGGATACGAATGGCAGCTCTGCTCTCAGCTGATCAGAAGGCTTGGAAAGTAAGTTAGTGTCGTTTTAGCCCAGGGTAGGATGGATAACATGTAAGCTGGGCTTGCGGAGGAGAAGAAAAGAAAGTTTTTGTTGTTATAACAAACTACAGGGGTATTTTTTTTTAAAACATTTTATTAGGGGCTCATACAACTGTTATCCCAATCCATACACACATCAATTGTGTAAAGCGCATTTGTACATCATTTCTCAAAACATTTTCTCTCCATTTAAACCCCCGACATTAGGTCCTCATTTTTCCCCTCCCTCCCCGCTCCCCCCTCCCACATGAGCCCTTGATAGTTTATAAATGGGTATTTTGTCATATCTTGCCCTGTCCGACTTCTCCCTTCATCCACTTTTCGGTTGTCTGTCCCCCAGGGAGGAGGTCACAAACAGTTCCATGTAATCGGTTCCCTCTTTCCTACCCATTCTCCCTTTACCCTCCCTGTTTTGCCACTCACACCACTGGTCCTATAGGGCTCATCCGCCCTGGATTCCCTGTATTTTCAGTTCCTATCTGTACCAGTGTACCTCCTCTGGTCTAGCCAGTCTTGCAAGATAGAATTCGAGTCATGGTAGTGGGAGCGGGGAGGAACCCTTTAGGAACTAGAGGAAGGTTGTATTTCTCATCGTTGTTACATCGCACCCTGACTGGCTCATCTCCTCCCCGAGACCCTTCTGCAAGGGGATCTCCAGTGGCCTACTAATGGGCTTTGGATCTCCACTCCACACTCCCCCCATCATTCACTATGGTAAGATTTTTTGTTCTGATGATGCCTTACACCTGATCCCTTCGACACCTCGTGGTTACAGGGGTATTTTTACAAAATATAATAATAGCTATTTGCTGAAACACTGCGCCGAAATCTTATAGACAAAAAATTTTTACAGACTATCCTTTTGGTGCCACCCTCTCGGACAATGTTGCTCAGTGTGCAGCTCCCAGGGGCTGCCACTGTGTGGGTGGTATCTCCGTGATTTGAGCAGCAGGGAGGTTGGCTCTCAGGTCCCAACTGGGTGGTCACCAGATGAACACCCTGGTGTTCTCCTTGATGATATCGGGATTCTGAAACCTTTTGATTTAGCTTCCCTCACGTCTTGCTTCTTCTCACTGTCCTCCACCTCCCATACCGCCTCTTCCATCTTCTCCTGGAGGGAGGGGCCTCTCCTCCAACTGCAATCACTTCCTTGGTGACCGCATCCCATCTCTCGGCTTTAAATGCCATCCATAGGCCAGCCATCCCCAAATTTACATCTCCAACCTAGACGGGTGCCTTCACCTCAGAAAGATTCCCTCGGGCATGCAACACAAAGAGTGCCACCCGGTATTTCCGATTCGGTGTGCCCCAACCTCAGAATTTCCCCTAAACCCACTCCCTGCCGCCTGGTCACTGGAGACTTCGTCTTTTCAGTTGCTGAAGTCAGAAGCCTTGGTCGTTTGGATCCCTCTCATGCATATACCTCCACACCTAGTCCATCCGCCAGTTCCACTGGTTTTAACCTCAAAATAGTACCAGAATTTCCTCAGAACCCCTATCCCAGCCTCCGGCTACACTCCATCGGGACAATCTTAACAGCTTCACTGGTCCCTCTGTCCTTCCCTTTTCCCCAGTTGGTTCCCCAAAGGCAGTCCCAGAGACCACGCCCCACCCCACCCCCTCCACCTCACACACACAGGAAGCTGGGAGCCAGGCTGCTAACAGGGTGACATATCCGCCACCACAGCTTCCTCTCCTCGGCCCCTTGGCCCCTTGGCCCCTCGGCCCCTTGGCTGTTCCTCAGACTCCTTTGGACCACAGCCCTTTGCCAGGCCTCTCCAGCCCCAGCTGGCATGGCCTTCCCAAGCCACATCCTGCTCCTGCTTTTACTCCCAGGTGAAACCAATGGCTTTGGGGGCGGGTGGGGGGTATGTTTGAGGGGCCAGGAGTGTTGATGATGGGCCCTTCTCCTTGCTTGGGTCCCTTCTCTTTCTGTAGATGCATTCCACGCAGGGCCTGGATTGTGTGCGCGTGCGCACGTGGTGTGTTGGTGTGTGTGTGTGTGTGTGTGTGTGTGTGTGTGTGTGTGTGTGTGTTGAGGGGGTGCAGTAGAGTTCTGGGGCAGCTGTCATTGCTGGGTCTCTGCCTAGATCTACTTGGAATTTCTGTCTCTCTCTGCACTCTCTCCTTTCTGGCTGCCTCCCACCCGCCCCAGTGCCCAAAGTGGCCCTTCCTTCTCAGGACAGTGCCTGTCTTGCACCCTGTTTGGAAGCCACCTCTTCCCCCTTACCCACATTCTCTCTCTTTCCACAGTGGCTTCAGGTCAAGCAAACCCAGGTGAGAGAGAAGTCCACCCTCCCTCCTCTTTGTCCTGACCCTTCAGGACTTGCTCCGCCCCCCTTTCAATGTGGCCTGAGGATCCCAGACCCCCCACTGCCCTTCAGGTCACTGTCTGATCCCCACGTCACAACCTCAAAAGATCTTCCACTCTTTCCTGGTCCACGTCTTGTCACCCTCATCCGCTCACCACTAAAATGTGGGGCTGTAGGCTGTGAGCGCCAAGTGGAGCCCAGGTGTCCCCGGGACACCCTCAGCCCCTCTCTGGATCGCCACCTTCCCCTTCATCCCAAAGTATAGCCCTGGGAAATATAGGGCTCCCTCCCCTACTCCCTCCAGTTCAAAACCCTGCCGCAGGGGGCTGGACTCCCCTCAGCTGCCTCCTTGTCTTCGCCCCCACCCTCCAGGTCTCTGCTCCGGATGTGGGCCCCTCTCCATCCCACTCCTGGCCGGGCTTGTGGCCGCTGACGCAGTCATGTCCCTGCTCATCGTGGGGGTGGTGTTTGTGTGTACACGCCCACGCCAGCAACCCATGCAGGGTGAGCACAGGCTGTGGGGAGCGGGGGTCCCTAGGGAGGAGGGGGTCCCTAGGGAGGGGGGTCCCAGCGAGAGGAGCCCCTGGGGCAGCCCTGGAGGAGGGTGCTGGGGAAACCCTGGGGGAGGTGCCTGGGGGAACTCCTAAAGAAACCCCTGAGACAGGGAGTCCCCGGGGAGGTAGAGCTGTGAGGGGGTCAGGCTGTGTGCTTTTTCTCCCCCACCCCCAGAAAATGGCAAAATCTACATCAACATGCCTGGCAGGCGCTGACCACATTGCCCGCCCCTGTAGCTGGGACCTGGACCAACAGGCAGTGGAGCCGCTGATCCTGAATTGTAGATGGTGGCTCAGAAACCA